TGCTGGGCACAGTCTCACGTGCCCACAGCTCATTTGGCGTCTGTCTGGTTTGGGGGACGCCTTGCAGACAGAGGGGTGGTATGGCTCGTTCACTGTTTGTTCTCTCTGGGTGAGGAGAGAAGGGGGTAGAAGGTGTTAAGGTGGCATCTCCGTGGCTTTTTCTCCTTTCTCCATCCGTCTTTTTTTTTTTTTTCTTTTTAATGAGGATGAATTCAGGTCATGGGCAAAACTGCAACCAGGTCCAGGGAACTTCCTCTTTTTCTGGCCTCCCCAGAGGGCTATTTGAAGATCATCACTGCTGTTAATTAACGATTTGCCAGCTGTCTGTACTAATGTTCTAGGCTTTATGTATGCACACACATTGTACTTCAGTCTGCTTTCACTTAAAACCAAATACAACAAAAGTTAAATATGAGTTGAAGTTTCTGGTCTTTGCTTTTGGCAAGAGGTCTGTTTAGCTGAGATGGTTCTTTCTTGCGTCATCACAGGGCTGGCTGTGTGCCCACTTCACAGGCTGGTAGGGATATCTCTTTCTAAAGCTTTGCTCTCCCAGAAGACCCCTTCGGGACCAGCGTTGCACAGGGAGGAGTTACCGCTCTTGTTTAGGGTTAATAATTAGCTCAGTATTTCCAATTAATCTGTTCCAGGGTCCCCTCATTTTTGCCAGAAGGAGGCATTAACATCTCCAGGGGGGCCTTGTTCTTATCTTAATCTCATTTCTCTACTTACTGAGTATGTGATTGCTTCATTCCAACTACTGAGGCGGATCCCTGCCACATCTCATCCCAGAGAATGGAGGTACCCAGGAAGAGGAGAAGTTTGGATCGGCTCATCTCCAAGATTCCTCTAACCCTGGCATTCAGGACTGTGAAGTGTTCTGCCATGAGTCGCTAACTTTTCATTACTTCCCTTTCAGGCATGGCTTCTCTTAGCCCACATCAGACCAGGCTTGTCCCTACCCAAGCATTTTGACCATCCCATTCTAAGAAGCAATGAAAAGTATCATCTGCATATTATAAAGTATAATAATGCAGAGTGGCTCAATTTTTGCTTAACCACTCAACAATAACAAACCTGTTAAATTCAAAGAAAGACAGGAGAAACATGACATGGTCCCCTGGGAAGAAAGGAGATGCCAGGGGTGTTTATTAAGCACATGCTGTGGGCCAGGCCTTGTGCTCTGTCCCATTTCATCTTCACAACAACCCTGCATATGTGATCATTTTGAAAGGGCAAACCTGAGACTCAAAGAAGTGAGGTTATCTCTGGTTGAAAAGGGCACATTTGAAGAGAGTGCTTTACGATTATTGAGTGCCAAACCAGAAAGGCCCTTCCAGAAACACAACAGAGATTGCAAAGAGAGCAGCATGAGCAAAAGCTGAGGTAGATGGTCAGGGGAAGCACATGGAAGATTCTGGAAAGAGTTGAGAGCTGGAGCAGCAGTAGAGAACATCCTATAGAAGAATCCAGGTGAAGGAAGGCAGGGATGAACACATGTTCTTGAGGAACAGTGAGGGTGTTGGCCTCATCAATGGCCCACGTTGGGGTGGGAGAAAGCTGGTGGGCTCCAAAGTCTACACTCCAGACAGTACTAAAATTGGAAGCTGGCCCAATTTGACCACGTCTGAGCTATTTGAAGGCGTCAGAGAAGGAAGCAGTGGTCTTTCTGCCTCTTCGGAAGGGCCCTTAATCTAGCCAGAGGACCCTTCTAGGCTTCCTGGGGCAATCCAGTTTAGGACATAAATGTATATGTAAACACTATTTCCCAAAATGACTAGTGATATGACTGCCCACAGTGCGAGTTGCTAGACCCCTCTGCATGCATGAGAGGGAGCACACTGATGATGGCAACAAAAGCATCAAACATAACATCATTATCTTTTGGAGGTTTTCCTTATTTCTGAGTTTCTTTAGGACATGACAACTAATTCATTAATTCAGATGTGTTTGTGTTCTATTCCAATACCCCACACTCACTATCCTCACTATTCTACTTATTCATCTGTCTTTATGAACATGAAGGTTTTGGTAAAGATGGGAAATAAAGAGAATTTGGGGAGAATATAAGGCAGAAATGCATTTTAAAAGTTTTGCTTTTCAATATTGAATCAATTCAAGAGGAATTCAATCTAGAAGGTCAAAACTAGGTCACATATTCTGACTTCCTTGCACCCACAGCTTAATAATCTAAAAATAGAAATCAATTCTTGTCTGAGAGTTGTGAAGAGCTCATAATTGCTTTAGAGTAAAGCTCAGAATAACTGTGCCTTCTTCCGCCTTCTATTTCTTGAAGATGAGAATATCATTTTTCAAGTCCAAGGCACTGTCAGTATTAGATTGCATGGTAACCAAGTAGAAAAATCTCTGTTTAAGATGAAATAATTTTCATCATTATACTGTTCAGGCAGAAATGAGATCCCTGCTTTAATGCTGTTATAAAGATGGCAGATAAGTAATATGAACCAATTGTTAGTTAGAAATATTTTCCCTTTAAAAAAAACAGCATTGGTTTACAACCTTTTCTCTTCCTGCTGTCAAGCTAATATTCTGAATCAAGAACTTGCTTTGATTTTTATGGAAAACTTGTAGTCCCTTTTCTAGTTACTGAATTTTCTTTCTCCTTAAATCTCAAGATGTAGATGTGCTTAGAGCTTCATGATATCATGCACTTTAACAATAGGCCTAGTGGGGTTGGCTTTGGGGTTCATTTGCTTTATTAAAATGTTTGCCGCTAAATAGAGCTTTGGACTTCTAGAATACTAACGAATTTTCCATCATGGCTACATACTTTTTTGCATATAAGGCTATATGCAAAATATAATGAGGACAGCTTTCTATTTTTAATTAGCATCTCTTTATAGAAGTATTTAGCCTTCCAACCATCCACAGTTTTTTAAAACCAATTCCTGGAGTTTTCATGAAATTTTAAAGTACCTATCAAGAGTCTTTTAATGGTAAAGATCAGCCATAAGATGGAAATGAAAGAGTCCATTAAAATATCATTACAGGAAGAGAAATTCTCTGCCACTTTTTCTTAATTCTACCCAACAGGAATGTAACTGACCTCCCTCCCCTGGTTCTATCTAGTTATGGCTCCCTATGAAAATCTGAGGCTGGCATGGGAGGTGTCAGTAGAGACATAGGCAAGCTGTCCCATCCTCAGGTTCGGTCATGGGTACATACAGGCCATGGTCTGCTACCCCTGGCCTTTACCAGCTCAACCTTGCATCATCCCTTCTCCATACACCACCTCCTAACAAAGTGGGCCCCCTGGCTCTTTAGTGCTCCACTGCAGAGCATCACTGAGTGCTCCACTGCTGGTGAGTGCAGATGAGTCCTCCTCCACAGCAGAGCACACATCTTATGTCTCCCCAGCCTTATTTTAAATCAACATTTAGACATTTCCACAACCTGACTTCTTTCAGACCAAGCCAACTTTCTTATAAGCCCCAAGTCTGTTCTGTGAGGCCAGCTAATTAGCCCGCCTGTACCAGAAGTACTCACTTTTTATTACCTTTAGAAAACAAAGCCAGGTTTGAGGAAGTGTTGGATGTAAGCTGTCTCCAAAGCCTCAGGAAGGGGACCCCCGCCTTCCAAACCCCCTCCTCCTTTCCAGTAAGATTTGTAGTCTGGTTAGAAGGACCATTTAGATGATGAAAGGAACCAGTGGACAGCCCCTGATTTATAACCAGTGTGATTTTTTTTAATATCTACCAAATTAATATTTTTATGTCTGTTCCCCCATCGAGTTGCTTCGGTTTGAATTTCAACGAGGGGAGCCTGCCAAGATCGTGTAGTAAAATACGAACTGGATCATAAATCCCAGCAGGGGCAGGAGAACGTAAGACAGATTGCTAACACCTCAAAAAAAAAAGTTTAAATAAAAAAGGCAGGAATTTTCTTTAAAGTACACCAGGCCCAGCAGGGACTGGGAGATACACAAGGCGGCCGAAGGTGGAAGCTACTTTACCTTCCCAAGATCATTTTTCCAAGAAGCCCAACCCACAGAAAACGATTCTGAAGGTAAATCGGGCCCTGTGAGCTTTTCATCAAAAGCCAAGGATATCTCTCTGGGATGTGTGTTAGAGATAAGGCAGAAACGTTCTCGAAAGGAGCACCTTCCAAAAAGTCGAGACTTTCTGCATCCCTCTCTCTGGAGTGACCACTCAAACAGCTCATCAAAGTCTCCTTTCATTAGTGCCAGGCCAAGAGAAATAAATGCAGCTGGCAAGACGGAGCTTGAAGCTGTAAGAAGAAAGCCATGTGTTTCCTTCCTAAGACTAAAATTATTTCCCTATGAGGAATAAAGAGCTTTTACAGACCTTCTGGATGGATATGTCTTGGAGGGAAACAAGTCGATTACTCTCACACCCTCAGTGGGCTCCAGTGGGAGAAACAGAAGCCCTTATTTGCTTGGTTTTATAACAAGTTTACTATATTTGAGCATATATGGCAAAGTAAAGGCCCTTATAACCTAGCTTATTATTACACCGATTTGGATAAACTACAAGTCAAATCATGTCGGCTGAAACATAACTGCTACCCACAGGAGAAGTCTGATATAACTCAGTTGATAGCCTATAAAAGCCACGTTAGTCCCGTCTGTCAACACCAGCATTATAAAGGTGTTTCACTAATCCTCCTCGGTGGAAAACACCAACTCCTCCAGCAATGTTGTCTTCTCATTTCGTGACTTGCCTCTCCCTGGGTCTTGGGACATACAATGTGATCACAGGAGCCAATGACCTCCTCGCAGCTATAACGAGGGGCGCCTCCAGCATCACGTTCCTCCAGGAACTGAGCATCACTGAAACACATTTATAGACCAATCACCCTTGCTCACCACCCTTTGCCAAAACACGCTTTGGACTTTTGTTTCACTCAGTCTGGATTCAGAGCCAAAGCTATCACCAAGACTTTCAGAAATCTTGTGAGCAGGCAAGTAGAAAGGCACAGCCCCCGACCAAGCAGATATTGAAGAGACTTACATCGAATTGAAATGCACGAGGAATGCAGAATCTGGTTTTATTTTTTGGTTCACAGATATAAAGGTTTTGAATTTTCCTATTATGGACATTTAATCATAATTATCAAAGAAGAATTATCAAGGTGAAGATACTATAGATATAACATATGTATATTTTTAAGGTAAGGTTTAGTTTTTAGTTTAACAGCCTAAAACTTTAGCACACTTAACCCTCTCACATAAGTCCCCATAAATGAGACACGAGTTTCACACAATCCCAAAGTAAGTGGAAAACAAACTTTTTCTTTTTCTCCTTTTTTTTTTTTTTTTTGCTAGAAAGGACATTAGTAGGACATTTACTGAAGTTCAAACAAGGTCTATAAATTAGATAATAATACTATAGCAATGTTGATTTCTTGGATTTGATAACTGTACTGTGGTTGTGTAAATGAATTTAGGAAATGTGTACTGATGTATTTAGGGGTAAAGGGGTAGAATGTGTATAGTGTATCCCGAAGCCATTCAGAAAAGAAATACACACACACATACACACACACAGAATGATAAAGCAAACATGGAAGCTGAAGAAAAATGTACAGGAACTCTTGGCACTATTTTTGAAATTTTTATATGGATTTGAAATTATTTCAAAATAAAAAGGTTTTTTTTAAGGTTTCCCATTAGGGCTCCAGAGTGACCGTTGCTTATTTAAAATAACAGCCTAATAGAATATATTCATAAGTTCCTTTGTTTGCTTCCCCACATTAATCTGAAAGTAATTGTATGTAGGTCTTTTTTCTAGGTAGGTCCTACTTTAGATATCATTTAAACCCTTAATCTTGAAGAAAAACAGAGTAGGGGAGCCAGAGACAAGACTGGCAAGACACGAGTTGCTACCAGTTTAAAGAATGCCCAAAGAAGGATTCTAGAAGCAGAAGACCTGGATTCTCCAGGGATGAAGAGTTCCAGACTCTGAGATACTGACCTCTGTGGTCCTCAGTTTTGTCATCCTTAAAATGAGGGGCACAGAGGCAAGTCTGTGGTGAGGACTGATGTGGCATGTTCTGTATTGTAGAATATCGCATTCGTGGTGTCTGTTTGCAGCTTTGCCACCTCCCCCCACCTCAGGTTTACTTGTCTGGAGCAATGGTCTCGTGCCCCGTGGCATGCGGTAGGAGCCATGTTTTCTGAGTGTCTGAAAGCCCACTGGAAAAGGCTCTACTTGGGCAGCTGGAGGGACCTTCTTCATCCTCTTAAGACAAGGCTTGCCCCTCTATATCTTTCTTTGGTATTGGAAACATCGCAACAACACTCCTTTCGGCTACTCAAATCCCATTTACATTGAAGGCCTGCTGACATTCATTAGCCCAAACCTGCTTTTCAGAGATTTCCACTCACTTTGAGCTAAACATGTGGGCCCCAGTCCTAAGCTGAAATGAAGATTTCGCTTTCTTCTTTCTCTTTCAACCAGAAACAGCATTCTGCTGCCATTGGAAATTGATGCATCTGAGTACAAAGTGTCTGTTCCCTGCACCTTTCAAACAAAACCATGGCCCAGGCTCAACACCAGCATGCATGAGCACGCACACGCTCACACACACACACATTCTCAGCCCATAAAAGCCAACCACACTGCTAAATATCTAAAGCCCACCACTCAGCAAACACCGTCTCCTTCCTGGAACTTTCGGGGATGCGGAGGACACCCTGTCACGGAGCATGTGTGCAGCTTGAACCGGCGATAAATTGAGGCGCTAATCCTGATGCACGACAGCACCTGCAGCAACAGAGAAGAACGTCTCAGCAGACGACACATATATAAATCACATTTATTTTCATAGCACATTTAAATAACGTTTTGGCCCTGGGGATTTTCCACCAAGTAATGAAGCATCACCCAATGAGAGTCTGCAACGTTGCTCCATTCCGCAGTGCCCCCTCACAGCAGAGGAATAAAACCTGTGATTTATATGGATGTCAGGGGGTGGCGTAGGGGGCTTCCTTTCCTTTGCACAAGACATTGCTGTGCATCCGGATTAAAGATGAGATTTATCTGCAAAATAAACAAAGAACAGTCCCCCCACCCCTTTTCTCCCTTAATCACACCAGATGAGACATCAAACACACACGGAGGCATGCACCCGCTCAGCAGCACGCACGCACCCTCCACATGCACGCACACACAACACGGGCAGCCTTGTTATGAGATAGGAGGGACAACAATTTTGATAAAAGATGATCACCTGTGCCCTGACAAAGGTTTTTTTTTATCAGCAGTTCCTTGCAGGAGGCGCCCAGCTCCCAGGTCTCAGCCATCTTCCTATTGGGGTCTTCAGTCTACGTCAGTGTGGACGCCAGCCTTGGGTGCCCGAGGTCCACCACACACATGATGGAGAGAAATCAAATCTCATCCACACATTGCAAGGTGGGAGTGCAATTCCAATTCACCTGCCATTTTCTGTCTTGGTTGTTTGGAGGGGAAAGATGACCTCATTCTAGTGAGATTTTCCCTTGGATGGTCATGGGCGGGTGTGTACCCCAGCTCCCTTAGGATGAATTGCAAATTGTGCTGTTGAAACCATCATGAGTTCTTGCCGAACCTTTCATTTCTTTTTCTTTTTTTTCCTTTTTCTTCCTTTCTTTTTCCCCTCCCTCCCTGTACCTCCCTTCTTCCCCCACCACTCTCTCCCTCCTTCTTTTTTTCCTTCCCACCATCTCGTTTTCTTCCTTCTTAGCAGTCATTTATTCTCTAGAGCTCACCGGGACTCCACACATGTCCTAACTCGAGACCACTGTCTACCTTGCTCAGTGTGGGCTGCTGCTGACAGAGAAATATGTAACCTACAACTCAGTGGAGCATCGCCTTGTTAAAACACAATTCATCATCCACGGGGCGAGATATCTACAGTTCAATCTGTGATTGTCAAAATATTTCAACTCCATCCAGGAAACACTCAAACAAGAAAAATAACTCACATTGTTGTGGTGTTTTACAGTTAGCAAAGTCTAGCCCATCCTGTATATTATCACAGTGGGTCTTCACGCAAACCTGTGCCATGGTAGTGGGGAGACTGTGGCATGCTTTTAGATGCAGCCCTCCCATTTGGAGAAATCACTGCTGCTTTAAGGACCAAAGGTACAGCACTTTACTTTTTTTTGCCTCAGGTTCACGTGTTTCAGGATCACCAGCAAAACTGAAAGCAAAATATCTCATGCTTTCATATGGAAAATTATTCCTTGGCTAGAGGAGAGTGCGGAATGGATGGCAGGTGGCAGAGTTGAAGGCAGGAATACTAGACAGCCAGTTTCACCTGAATCAACCTGGAGTCAAGGTCAGGCTCTCTGGATAACACCTGGATGTTTCTAAATAAGCGTTATTTCCTAGAAAAACAGTCTCATATTTACTGATGTACATTCCGTCTTCAAGCCAAAGGGTGAACTTTCCATTTGCTCAAATCTGACTTTTGTGGAATGAAGAGAGACTCTAGTGCTCTTGTACAACGTTTCCAGTGCCTTGGGTTAAAATAAGTACATTTTCATATTTTGGTCCAGGTCACAAGCATAGAGAAATGCCAGCCCAGATTTCCCCTTATACTTTGCAAGTTTCGTGTCAAAGGAAGTCCCAAGCAATCACATATGTCTGGATGTAAATATATCTTTGCTTCTCCTTTTAATTTCTCAAATTTGTTGAGATGATTGCCCCAAATTAATGTTTTTTTTTTAAAGCCATCAGAAAAAGTAGCATTGCTTAGTAAGACTAATTCATGACTATTGAAGAGGGTCAGCCTGCCCCTAAAAATAGGGTGACCACCTGTCACAGTTTGCCTGTGGCAGCTCTGGCATATGCTATTGTCCTTGCTTAACTATTAATAGCCTGCCTTTCACTTTCATGAGTGTCCCAGTTTGGGTACTGAATTAGATGCTCACCTTACCTAAGAACAGTAGGAAAATCCAGTTGAAATAGGTCTTGTTCTTTTAAGGGCTGAAAACAACCTGAAAATGAAACTACAGAGGTGAAAAAAAAAAGAAGAAATTTTGCAGTCAGTTCCATGGCTTAGCCCTAGAAGACTGGGTGAGATTGTATCTATTTTGTGCATATAATTCTAATTTTGAACCAATAATGTGGAATAGTACTAATTTTATTAGAACCACTAGTCTGTGATAAAGCAAATGCACAAAATAATATGTTGAGTCATGAGGCCCAGATACGAATTAACTCAAATGCTCATGTGGGAGGCGAGAGGAAGGCCCATTATTTCCCATCTCATCTCCTGTCGGTGTGGGTGGCAGGCAGGTGGAGGGGAACTGGTCTGTGCTGCTGCGTTTGACTGGTGAACTGCAAGTAGATGGGGCTGCCCTGCTAAACAGAACCCGGACAGTGTGAAGGCCGGGCCCCGGGGAAGGGCGAGGGATGGCCACAGCACTCTCTGCCAGGACCATGTGTAGCACACACAGGGGGCCTTACCATCCTCCCCTTCGCATGGAGGAGCCTTGGCTTTAGGGGAAGGAATGGTGGTGTTTCCCAATTATTGGGGTTTGGTCTTTCTTGGGCAAACAGGGTGGTGCCTTTTCACTCCTGGTACCATCTCATGCCCTGTTTAGGGGATTTTTGTTTACCCTTATCGTAAGTATCTCAGTGCAGATGTGGAACCAGCATTCCCCAGTCATCAAGTCAGAGAATCCAGATTGTGCCATCTCAGCCTGGCCAGCTCCACTGTGTCCTCCACGCCTGAGCTCAGGCCCCAGGCACTGTAGGAAGCCTCTTCTGGCAGTTTCCCCGCTTTTTCTTTACCCTTCACGTTGGGCTCTCCCCACAACAAGCACACAGAGTTGAAGGTGAATCCTCATATCCTGCCGGTCACATGCCTGCCATAGCACTTGGCACCTTCCATGGCAGCTGTTTACTCCCCTGTCTCCCCTTGCAGAGCCTTAGCTTCTTGAGGTCAGCAATGATGTTCTTCTCTGGACTTCCACAGCCTAGCCCAGGACTTGGCCCTTGTCTGTGGAATGTATGGGCGGCATGAGAGCCCACCAGAAAACAAAAATAAGTATTAAAATCATAGGTGCAGTATATTTATTAAGCACTTAGTACATATATTTGTATATAAATTTTGCAATCCCATTTTTAAATTTATTTTATTTATTTATTTTTGAGATAGGGTCTCACTCTGTCACCCAGCCTGGAGTGCAGTGTCATCATAACAGCTCACTGCAGCCTTGGCCTCCCAGGCTTCAGCGATCCTCCTAACTCAGCTTCCCAAGTAGCTGGGACCACAGGCAAGCACCACCATACCCAGCTAACTTTTAAGTTTTTTGTAGAGATGAGGTCTCACTATGTTGCCCAGACTGGCATTCGACTCCTGGGTTCAAGCGATCCTCCTGCCTTGGCCTCCCAAAGTGCTGAGATTTCAGGCATGAGCCACCATGACTGGTCAATTCATTTGTTTTAATTGTAGTAAAACACAAATAGCATAAAATGTACCATCTTAAGCATTTTTAAGTGTACAGTTGACTAGTGCTAAGTATATTCCCATTGTTACACATTCGATCTCTAAAACTTTTTCATCTTGCAAAACTGAATGGCATGGTAGGTTTTAAGTGTTTTGGAAGCATTATCTCATTTAAATCTCATAGTACTAGAGGTAGGGATAATTATTTTTCCCATTTTGAGATAAGAAGTTTAGCAAGGTCATGCAACTAATGATTGGTAGACATGGATTTGAAACTCATACATCTTTATTAAACTCTACCTAGCAGTTGTACGGTGAGTAAAATTTCCACAAAAGTGCAGATTTATAGAATTACAGGGTTTTGTTTCACCTTCTGCCCAATTTTTATTTTAAAAGTAGTGTTTAAATTTTTTACTGGAAAATAATATAAAAAAATCCATGCCACTTTATGAAGTTCATGATAAGAAAAATGAGACAGATTTACTATCAGACAGCTGCTGTCGATGACTCACAAAATTTTAGCAAAGAAAGACACCTGAGAAGATTGAACCCAACCCAGTTATTTTACAGGTGTGGAAACTATGGTTCAGAGTCAGGGTAGAAGTTAAGGAACCATCAAGTTCAGAACACACGACTCTTTCCACTTCCTGATGCAAGCTGGAAGATATTTTTATTTGAACGCTTATGACATTTTTCTTTCTAGTTAATAGGTATGCTAATAGCATTTTAAATTAAGTGTGCTTTTGGCTAGGCACGGAGGCTCACACCTTAATCCCAGCACTTTGTGAGGCCAAGGCAGGAGGATCGCTTGAGCTGAGAAGTTTGAGACTAGCCTGGGCAACATGGTGAAACCAAAAAAAAAAAAAGGTAAAAATTAGCCAGGCGTCACAATACGTGTTTATAGTCCCATCTACTAGGGAGGCTGAGATAGGAGGATCCCTTGTGCCCAGGAGGTGAAAGTCACTGATGAGCTGAGATCATGCCACTATATGCCAGCCTGGGTGACACCACAAGATCCTGTCTCAAAACTAAAATAAAATAATAAATTAAATGTGCTTTAGTCTTGTATTCAGGGTCTCTGCTTCCAGTCCCAGCCAGGGGCTTTCCAACCCATCTCTCCAGCACGATACGCATCTGTTTTCCTGTCTCTGTGGCCTAGATCAGCGGTCCCTATGCCTTACCCTCCAGCCCCTTCTTATAACAGATACTCTGTAATGCCTCTTTTTCTTCCCAGAAATGAAATCCAGAGATAATCTACCTAAGCACATAATTTCAACAATGACAACACAATCAATACAATGCCCTATCTGTAACAGAAAGGAAAAACAAAAGTAATTTGTGATTTTATATATATATATATACATATTTCAACATGTAAATGTTCCAGCTGACTTCCAGAAGGCATACAGCCACAGCCAGCATTTGCCCCCTGTGTGGAACCCCATGGGTGCTGCAGGGGACCCCACAGTGTGGCCCCACAGAGCATGCTGTGCAGGTGACTCAGATACCATGGGTGACATTCATCCCATATGGAAGAAAAACTCTTAATGAAACCCTGAACACAATGAAGTATAATCTTCTCTTGATTTGCATGGTGGAGAATTCAGAGCCAAAAACTAAACATTTATGTATTTATATGAATATAAAATGAAACATATAAACACACACGTACACGTGCCTTTTTGTTTAATTATAAAACAGACTCTGGAACTAGGCTTAGATAATTTTAACCAGGTTCTTTACTTATCAGTGACTGTCTGGTGGGACATCTAACAGATGTGCAGGAGGCAGGACAGCCTTTGGCTGTCAGAGGACAGTGTGGAGAGGAGCACACTGGCATTACTCCAGGCATTACTTTGAGGCATTCTGGGATCTCCAGCCAACACTGGCCTCTGCCCATGGAATATCTTCATTGTCCACTCAATTTTATGATGACAAAAACGTCAGTCCAAATTTCCAAAACACCATAGGGTTGACACCCACACCCCTCTGAGAAGCTCTGCCCATGCCCCGAGCTCCTTCGGTGCATGGACCTCTTTGTATCTACAGCCCTGACGCAGTCCTCTGCCTGCAGGTGGTAAGCCCTCCACCCACGCTGATGAGTGGGGGAAGGAACAAACAAGCAACAGGAAGACATCATACAAAGAATTAAATGACACCAAACTTACTCAGAACACCCTCCAGAGACTAGGATTTTAGTCCCAGCACCCAATAATACTAGGTTGGCATGGGAATGAAGTCAAACTCATTCAGTCTCTCCTTGTTTTCATGTTTGTATAGAAATGAATATTTTTATATTTATATATAAAGAGGAATGAATTAATTTACTTCCTAAAAATACATAAACACATACACACACACATATTCAAACAGTGCTAAAACCTGAAAACAGCACATAGTATTAACTAATTACAGCTATATACAATTTCTGTCTATACACTGAAAAATTTTAATGTGAATTTAGAGATGCAGAGAAGTTGTTGTTTTTGAGATTTTTAAACCTTTAATGCTGAATACAGGATAATTTTTCTTACTGCGGAAAATAAATATGGAAACCACTATATGTCTTTCCTGTCCTACAGAACAGCAAACCAGAATCTGAAAGACATTTTTCATCCATAAAGTCAACAATCAATACCACCTAAAAACAGGAGTTGAGTTTGTGCTAAGGGTGTTAAGTAGGTTGCCTTGTTTAGTCCTCAGGACTCTGCAAACAAAGCACCTCATCCCTATTTCGCAGATGAGCAAATGGAGGCGCAGAGAAGTTGGTGATGAATCTGGAACTCTAATCCAGATCTTTCCGACTCAGAGGCCAGTTCTCTCAACCGCAACTTTGTCCTCCCAATTGGCTAGAATGAGGACACTAATGCCCCTAATTCAACTGTACATTACAAAACAAGTTTTCAGTCCCAGAATCACAGTATTACGGGAAATATTTGGGCTCCTTTACCGTTTTTTAGTTTTATCATCACCAAAGCAAGGAGATGTTGGCAGAGCTGTCCCCAGCCATTCTCCTTGTCCTTCATTTGATGGCTATTTTCTAGCACCTTCCACGCACATGACCCATAGTGACAAGGTTCACATGGGCCGTCAGCGGGACACAGTCCCGCCTTTGTGGAGCTAGAAGAAGGAGCAGACATTAATCGTATAATCATACAAAAATATACATAACCAGATGCTATAAGATGGTCTGGAGTTGCCATGAGATTATATGCAGGGGCCTGGCTTGGTCTGGAGCTTTTATGATGTGAATCATTTTCCCTTTAATAAAAGTCAAATATCATTTACAGGGCACTTGCAATGTGCCAGCCCCTCTGCCAATCATGTCCTATACACCTCCTCCAATCCTGGAAGGTAGTTTCGTCATGCCCAGTCCACCGGGGAAAACACTGAGGATTCAAGAGCTCAGGAAACCCGCCCAAGGTTGGCAGTGGGCAAGCCAGGCTTTCAGGGAGGTCTTGCCAAGCGCCAAAGCTCCAGACCCTTCTCTGCTCTGCGCTCCTGCCTGCAAGGGTCTTCAAAACGTTGGTGACTATTATCACAAAGCGAAAAGAATTTGAGACGTGCACTGTCCTTCCACTGAGAATCTGTGGTCAACCTCAGCTGGCTCCCCTCCAACCTATGTTCTCTGGGCTACTGGGCTGCACGTATCCCTCTCTGGTCTAAACCCTGCAGAGCACTCCAGGCTCTTGTTATAAAACTGTTCAGCTCAGTAGAGCATGCTGGGGACCGTCTCTAGGTTGACCTCTCCTCCCCTCCATATCCCTGCTCCAAAGAAGCGCTCTGCTGGCCCTTCCTGTGTCTGTGATGCCCCGCCTCTCTTGCCCACCTGGCTGACTCCTATCTTCCAAGGTCATGTCCTCCAGGGAGGCCTCCCCTGATTCCTTCAATCTCACAGGCTCCTTCCTGCATGCTGTCTTTCCAGCACAGCCTGCATCCCCTGGACTGCAAATGGCGGGTGTTGCCAACATGTCCCGCTGCTGGGCCTGGAGCTCCTGAGGGTCACAGATTCCACCCAGGCCAGGCCTAAGCCCAGTCCCTGATGCTCAAAGCCACCCATTAAATACCTACAAATTGAATTAAATTGACTTTCATCTTCACAGAAGGTGGTAAAAGAAGACCCTTCTTTTTTCATAGCACTTTACCATGTTGGCTGCAGCATTTAGAGTTAAGCCAGATTCATCAACAAATACTAACAATCTAAAACTCAGTGATTGCCTTTCACCATTTTCACTTGCCTAATATGTATAATTTGACTAGTTTCCCTTTCCTCAAAATATGAATATCCTTATGGAATAAATTTCAACAACACTTTTTTTAACATAAAAAATACTGTCTTTTGGAATATTTTAATTTTATTCATAATCTGTATTCTATTTCATAGACTAGCTCTGCATGTCTTTTATTTAACTGAATGGGTATCAAGAAAAAAATAAAGAATGGCTCAATTATTACAGGTGATAATTAATTTCTGAAATTAAAAACTGTCGTCTGTCCAATTGATTTGCAAAGAATAGCTTAATGGACAAAAGAAACTGCATAATATGCCTTCTGGAAAAAAAAGTCAATAATTTTTTGGAGGTAAAGGCATCTTTTCAAGATAATGATTGGTTTCAATTTTTAAATCTTATACCAGATTTAATATAAAATTATTTTGACATTGTGCTGGTAACCCATTTGAAAAAGAACCTGAAAGAAAGGAGTCCCCGCTTCCTGTGTCCCCCACTTCCCCTCCAAATAAGTCAGGGCCCCAAAGTCCTGGATGCATAAATAAATCAAGATTATGTTAATGACTAGAGCTGGGCACAATGGCAGGCTTTGACAATTCCAGGCAAAAGACACCAGAGGGCACTACAGGACCACGTTTTGTAATTTCAGACGCCATTTTACCCTTGGATTTGAACAATAATTTCTCAAAAAACTGTTAACCTTCTGAGCTCTGGATGTGGATTTATTTATTGCTTTCAATATCTTATCGCCACTAAGCTTAATTAGCTAGGCTTGGAAGGTTACTTTAAAGGACAATGCTCTAAAAAGGCAGACACTATTCGGCTTTCTCTTTATTTTACCTTCCTATAGAATGTCGGCATGTGGATGAGCGTGTGTGTGTGTGTGTGTGTGTGTGTGTGTGTGTGTGTGTGTGTGTGTGTGGCGGGGGGAGGGGGTTGGTTAGCAAACATTTATGATTGAAGAAACCATTCAGGGAATCCAAAAACTAAAATGCAGGATTCCACTGCCTCCCAGTCCCCGCAAAAAAAAAGTGGTTTCAGGTCAAAAAATTGTTTTCATTGTTATTGCTTGTGTAACTCTCTTCAATCATCTATTAATTCGATCAGCAAATATTTATTGAAGCCTCTAATGTGCCAGTACTCATGTGCCAGGTCCTGGGCACACCATGATACCTGAGTCACATCTCACCCCACGGTGTCTCACCCATGATGAAAAGGCAGTTCTCTTTACTCCTGTGAGCCAGATTTAGCCTTAGAGCATCAATATCCATAAGTGAAAAGTGACACTTCAGCTTAGATTATTTCTCTTTTCACTGCTCTTCAGAATTTTTTTTTTTTCAGAAGAAAATAGTAAAATCACTACTTTCTAGATGTGACCATCTCAGCCTGAGCAAGAAGGATCAAAACTCTCTTGTTGGAACTGCTTTCTCAGTGACTGAATTTTTATGAATCAAATAAAATGGTTGCTTGTGGGTTTGGGGAATGCTTTTTTTCCTTCCAAAGTCCCATATTGATTAGAATGAATTACACTGAAATTTCACAAGTGACAGAAGAAAGTGCCACCACTCTTGGTGTCTAACGGAGCTGTTAAGCAGTGCTACCATCCAGGGTTGGGGAAATGGGACACAGGAAGCCTGTTTCCTTCTCCTCCAACAATACTCCCAGCCCCATTGGTTTGTACAAACAAGTATGTGAGACCACGTGCTAACATAGACAAGTTACATTCCTTACCTCAAGTAATACCTACAAGATAGCCCCATTTCCCAGCTGAGCAAACTGAGGCTAAAGGTTAATTATTTGCCCAAGGTCACACAGCCACTACCCAAACCCAAGTCTGTCCACCTCCAAAGATTATGTGCCTTCTGCTACCCAGTATAAATAACCCAAAAGAACTCAAATACTGTTTCTTTTGAAGATAGATGGGGCAGACACTGCTGTGTGCTTGCCCTGAGCCATGCCATCTTCTTCCTGTGCACACAGCTGGAGTACATTTCCCAGTTCGCCGTGGGGGAAGGTTGGCCCTGTGAGTGGCGTCTAGCTAGTGGAATGTGAGTGGCAGTGAGGCCTGCCCACCTCCTGCACAGTCCTTCATTTTCCCTCTCTACCTGTCACAGCCAGATGTAGAGTACTCAGCAGCAAACATTAAGGCCCCTAGGGACGGTGGGGCCACAGAATGAAAGGTGCCTGGGTCACTGAATCACTGCATGGAAGCTGCCCAAGAAACACTGACTTTCAGTGGTTCCAGGAGCAAGAGATAAGGTGTTTTGTGTTAAGCCACTGTGACACGGGGTTGCTTGTTAAACAGTTAGCTTTTGATACATAATACACAAGGAAAGATAATGGCTTCTCTGAAGGTGTCCATTTGCTCACCAGGGGACGTGCCTAGTTCTGTGGTAGTGAATTTGTTCACAATTTCCCTGGGCATCAGGAAAGAAGACATTGAGGTAGGTGATCTCTAAGGTCTTTCCCCGACCTGAGAAAAGCCTGTGGTTCTGCGGTGCCCCTCTCTCACCGGCGGGAGCCCATCTCCCACCACTCATATCTGCAGGTGCCAGCTAAGTTACCTGGACCAGGAGGGACTTAGCCCAAACTCTTACCCATCCAGGAGTCTTCCCTCCCACATAACACCTTCCCTCCACTCTGCTGGGCAGCTATACACAGATATGCCCCTCGGCAGTGGCAGCAATATGTAAGATGCCCCCGGCAGGAGGACGAGGGGGAGGGCTTCACATGGCCCGGCACCACCTGTCACAACCTTCTCTGCTCCCTGTGTAGCCTGTGTGGGAAGATGAGCACCTTCCTCCAAGAAAAGGGCTGAGTATAGACCGAGACCTTGAAAACTGCTAGGTATCCGAAAAGTGAATATGAGGAATCCTGCTCTTTGAAAGCACTGCTTCTTCGAGTGATGTCACTAACATCTATGAAATACCATACTTAATCTATTGTAAGTCTACCTCCAGTGACTCACGGGATCTCCTTTTCTGTCACTGAATGTGATATGCTCAAAATGAAGACAATGTTAACGTAGGGAAAAGCAGAACTGAGAGTTTTAATGACACAGACTCCTGGCCAGATCAGGAAAGGAGGGTGTCGTTCGCGGCATTTGTGATTCCGGCTGGGTCTCCCGTGCGGAAGTGAAACTCGCCCCCTGCTGGCCCGCCGCGGCGCTTTCAGAGGGAAGGGAAGCCAGGACGCCCGCGGGGATGGCTGCCCAGCTGCGAGTCACACACGAGCATCGCCCATGCCCGGTGCCCCCGCACTGCCCATGATAGGGACCTACTGAATTGGATACTAGTGGTGTTTCTAGAAAAATCAGGGAGGATTGAGACCTGGGTTTTCGAGTGACAAATTGGGGACGCAGATGAAAAATGCAGGACTCAGTTGCATATGGTGGCAGTCTTTGACTGCCTGGAGAGAAAGAGAGAGAGAGAGACAGAGAGAGAGAGAGAGCGCGCTCACTATCAATATGATTAACTATTACAGTGCACAGTGTTTGGGGCTATCCATTCCTTCCCCTCCTTCTTCTATCACAGATTCCTCCCTCTCTGATTTCAGAAGGAGGAGTTAGGGAGGTCGGTGAGTGCCTGATCTAGGCCACTCAGCATCCCCCTTCCTCCACCAGAGTCCTTGGCCAACTAAAAACCATTCCTGGGAATCTTCTGCGGAACCCTGCCCCTCTACCCTCCAGCCTGCCAAGCCCTTTTTCTGTCCCCTGCAAACTAACCACCAAAGCTATTGATGGTTCCCACAATATGTATTGTTTGACTCCACTAGCACCTGACACAACCCAAATTGTGCATTACCATATTACCAAGGGTAAAACCCAAGGTTAATGATGAAACAAATTAATGCACAGTTTAAAAATATGAAAGTGTTCTATGACTACTACAAAATGAAATAAGGTTAATTAAAGTAATTTTCAAAATATTAACAGAACCATAGTTCCAGCAAGTATAAGAACATTATCAGCACATTTGCATCATTAAAGGATTTAAACAATTTATAGAGCCATAGATAGAACACTTACATTTGTGAAGGTCAAAAAAAGGATAAACTATTTAGCTTTATTTTTGTAAGCCTATTTTGTTTTCTAGATACTGTGGCATTATTACATCTAAGAGTCAAACTGCTCTAAGTATTACTTGTAGATTTCTATTTATGAAAGAGGTTATCTTGCTTATAGGAAAAATAATGTATTAAGCTTAACCATTCACAAATGGACAGTTATTTGTAGGTACTTAAACATGAAGATCTATCAGAGCATGGTAATTTGTCATTTTTAGTGCTTATTTGACTGTCTATAAGAGCAAAATTGAGTACAAAATGACGATGTTTCTGTAGTGCCACTGCTAGTTTGATTGATAATGAGAAGATACAGCTACCATTTTTAATTTTTAAAATGCAAGATTATTCTGGAGTAAATTAACCTAATCACATATCGCAAGTAAATTAATGTCAGTTCCTTACTTAATTGCAAAAATAATATTAACCTAAAGAATCTAAATCCACTTCTGACACATATTCAATTTTTATAATGTTACATAGATAGTTTTTCTGGATTATATGTAATGGTTTCCAGCATTAGCTTCTCTGCTAATTGGAAACGTTGGGAATGGGAGCATATATATTCCAGTGGTGTTGAAGAAGGTTGCTTCCAGAATTGATCTAGCTATATTACAATTCGGACACCATAAAAGAACCATTGGGTATTTTTCGTGGCAAGCCTGCTATAAACTCACCCAATGAGAACTTCTCAGGGCTTTCATTCTCCTGGCGTAAGTGGGTTTTTTCCAAAGCAGACCAACAGCTCTCACTTGGAGAACTCAAGTTTTCCAGCTCTCATTTCCCCAGTCTGCCCCAAGCGAGTCAAACAGTGTCAGTACTGTCTCCAGCAGCACCTTGAGGGCTGGTGCCTGTGTTTTCCCGAAATGAGGGTAGATGTGGTTCCTGCAGACTGGAGGAGAGTCCCTGAACTCACAAAATGTCTCCTGGGCCTTAATGCTTTCCAAGTTGGGAGATTTATGTCGCAACCTTGAGAAGGGCAGAGTAAATACAGAGCCTGCCAGCTATTTGTTTTCCTGTTGATGAATTCCCCAAATTCAGACTGGAAGCCCTCCAAGAACTGAAATATCTTCAAAAGGCAAAGTGTTAACCCTGAATCCTTCGGCTGCTTTTGCCACGTCCTTCTTTCCCACCCAGAAAGCTCCAAAATATCTCTGAGGTTGTGTTTGCTGTATGTGAAGCTCTCCGATGACTCTTCCTTTTTATCACACAAAACAAGCCAGGGCCAAAGACCACGGAGGAAGAAACCAGCTGACCACATGGTGCAGGGATCTTGCAAGAGCTTCTCCTAGTTAGGCTTCCTAGAGCCTCACTCCTGCAGATTCAGTATAGCTTTCTTGAGTCATGAAAGTGATTCCACTACCTAGTCAAACTTTGCTAGCTTGAAATATTTGCCACATGCTCTATTGCAATTGTGGTTTTCATCTTTAAATCATACATCCTTAATCTTCTCCTTGGAAATGTAACGAATTAGCACTATATTTTTGTTTGTTAGTTTTTCCTGAACATGAGCCGTATAGTTTATGAACCAATCTAGATAAAATGATCACTTTTAATCCCCAAATCACTCCTTATTTTTAGCGTTTATTCTCACTGGCTGCTTTTACAATTTAAAAGTTGTTAAATATAGTCTTTTTTCTGATAATAAAATTACAACATCTTATTTATAGAAAACATGGGAAATGGGTATTAAATGTAAAAAATTTTATTTGTAGTCTCATTACTCACAGTTAAGCCTTGTTAACATTTTGGTATACATCTTGTTTCTCTGCTAGTTATTCTATCTGGATGACGACTTTTTTCACTTGGTCTTATATAATAAATATTTTCACATTATTTCCATAATTTTTTTTGTTTTTCTTTTTTAGACAGGGTCTCACTCTATCACCCAGGCTAGAGTGCGGTGGCATGATCATGGCTCACTATACCCTTGAGGTGATCCTCTCACCTCAGCCTGCTGAGTAGCTGAGACCAGAGATGTGTACCACCACGGCAGCTAATTTTTGTATTATTTTGTAGAGACAGGGTTTTGCCATGTTGCCCAGGTTGTTCTCAAACTCCTGGGCTCAAGCAATCCACCCACTTCAGCCTCCCAAAGTGCTGGGATTACAGGTGTGAGCCACTGCACCCAGCACCATATGTTTTTAACTAACCTTTTATTGTTGGAATTGTAAGTAGCATTCCAGTAAACGTATTTCTACGAAAACCTTCAGCCACATATCACATTAATTTCTTAGGACAGATTCCTATAAGTATCTGGGTCAAAGTGTAGAAACAGTACTAATGTTCTCAATACATTTTGCCAAATTGCTTTTTCCAAAGGATGCATATCAATTTGTGCTCCCACCACAGTGAGACTGGCTGGCTTGCTGTGCCCTCATCCACATCGAGGATTGCTGTGTTTGCCTCTGGGCCTACACAATAGACACCTCCACTGAAACAGGTGGTGTGGCCCAGGTTTGGGAAGGGCTTAGACTCAGGTCAGGAGACCTGGCCTTCAGTTCGGATTCTCCTATTACATAGCTCTGTGACATTGTAGAAAACCCTTAGCAGCAAGAATAAAAATTGGGAACAGACTACCCAAATAAGGTAATGAATGTGAAAATGCTCTGTGAATGCAAAATGGGAGGCCTTATTATGGCAAGGCACCTATCTGTTGCTGCTGGTACCTAAATTTCAGTGCTAAAATTAGAAACTGGGTTTATAATGTAAATTAGAAACAAAAATAAAATTTTATGGAAATATTGATTTAAGGTTTTCTTTTTAAAAATAAGAGATAGGTGACTTTTTTACTAGCACACTTTCTTCCATCTCTTTCTGAGCTCACCCCCAAAAAATTCTGTAGTATCTGAATCCCAGGTGAGCCTGCCTAACTTTAATGTGTGAAATAAAGTTGTATATTGTCTTGGATTATGCAAACTAAGCTGGTAATGAAAAGTGGATTTTTTATTTTTGTTTTTTAGAGACAGGGTCTTGCTCTGTCACTCAGGCTGGAGTGCAGCTGCATGATCATGACTCACTGCAGCCTCAACCTCCTGGGCTAGCATCATCCTTCTGCCTCAGCCTCCCGAATAGCTGGGACTACAAGCAGGCACCACAAAATCTGGCTAATCTTTTATTTTTTTAGAGACAGGATCTTATTATGTTGCCCAAGCTGGTCTACAACTCCTAGGCTCAAGCGATCCTCCCACCTTGATCTCACAAAGTGCTGGGATAACAGGCATGAGCCACTGCACTCAGTCATTAACACGCTTATGAAGGGTGGATTTGAGTGTAATTGGCATTTAGATGGAGGCAACATTAACTCAAGACATTTTTCTATTTTAACTGTTGCAACTGAATACAAAGGCTTCCCTAGAATCAGGCCACTCTGTTCCTGCCATTCCAACACAGGATACTCTATCCACATTTTTTCCTGCTCCTCCTCATCCACATGGAGCCATATTTCCTCTGAGGTTTACCAGGATCCACCTTCTCCTGAAGTCTTTCCCAACTACTCCAGTGTGAAAGCTTTACTTTCCAAGAATGCTTACTTATGAATCCCCTGGCTTGCTCCAGAGTACCCCTGCTCTGTAAGGTCCTTTCATCATTTCATTTCTAGAGTGTAGACATTTCTTCCCCATCTAAGTCGTAAACCATTTGAAGAGACAGTTTCTTCCTTTGCATTTGAAGCACCATGTATATTCTTGGCCATAAACTAACTTGCCTGAGGTTGACAAAGAAAGAAAGTTTTACCCAGGACCAAGAGTCATTTTCCCAGTAACTCTCACTGGGGAAACTTTCTCTAGACTTTGCCCCTCTTGGCGTGAGGGGTTTGGAGGGCAGGTCAGTGCCTCCAGCTACATTTCTTCTGGGAATTATTTCCCCCTCATTAATTGTGCTGACAGGATTAAGAATAGCTCAAAAGCCAGCGGCAAAGGCTGACGTGGACAATTTTGTTATTTTCTCCTTTTATTTCCTCACCCTACTCCTTTTGTGTCACCCTCCCACTCCTTGGCTAGATATATGTCTTTTTTCTTATAAACGGCACTGTTTTTTAAAACAAAATGACGAGGTTGCATTTTCGTATCATCATTATGATTCCTAGAGAAACATTAAAGTTATGAGGGCAACAATGTCTTATTCACATTTTGGAGGGCTGAAACTCAGCTATATTTTAGTGACCATTCTAGATATGTTCCCATTTCTAGAGGCTTAATCAGGGTGTGTGTGATTGCAAGAAACAGAAACCTACCCAAATTATTCAAGTCAAGGAATAGAATCAAGCTTCAGGGAGGTATACCAGTCTTTCCAGCACACTAGGCTTGAGATCTTTTATGATTTCTCAAAGGGATCCCTGGTTTTAAAAGCATTGAGAAGGACTGTGTTGGACTAAGAAATTGCTACAACAATAGAGAGGTAAAATTCCTTGCTTCTCATCAGGCAGCTAGTAAGGTTCAGAGAACCTTTCTAGTTATTGGGTGCTGCGGAAAAAGGTTGATGATACCTGCTTTCAACTCTAATGGAATATAAAGATTGTAACATGTGTGTCTCCAATTGGGGCATCAGGCCCCAGGCGATGACCCAAAACAACTTTCCTCGGATTTCAGAACACAGTTTCAAAAAGAGCATTTGGCAACTGTCCCGAGAAGAGGTTCTGAGAAAGAGCTCAGCAACCCAGCCAAATACAATCTCCTCCCAAAATTAGGCCAAAGTTGTCAGCAGTTGCTGAGGACATCAAGGCTAAAGTCAGAGCCCTGACCAATTAATTTGTAAACAAATTCATCATTGGCCTCCTTTGGAAACCACTCCATGGGATTTATCTGCCCTATTGGCAATCATGTTTTAAGAACATATACTAGGGGGGAAAGTTGAAATCTAAGTTTGTGCTCACCACTACCAAAAGAAATGATTCCATGATCCAGAACTTTGAACCACCCATTTCTTTCCATGCCATTTGACATTTCACTTCCTTCTTAGCTTCTTTTTAATTTTAGAATCATCTCACAGCTAATTTTAAAAAGCTAGCAGGTAAAGCCTCTAACACCAGTCTTCCAGCAGTTTTGGGAATGATCTAGCTTTGCCCTGGACCCCAAACTCAGTCATGCCAGGCCCCTCCTACCTACCTCCTTTCAACCTAGAATCTTCTCAGCTTCCACAAACTCAATCAGAATGAAGCTGAGCCTGTCACTAATGTTGTTAATTGTGAACAAAAGATGTGGTCATAGTCTACCAAGATTTAGTTCCAATGATGAAATAAATACTACTTCTGATTTTATTCTTTTGTAAAAGACCAGTTCCAGGGGTTGAGCTAGTAAGATATACCTTCTATAAGCTGTAGACCTTGCTTCATAGGTACCACAGCTGCTGAACCAGAGGGAACAAAAGGGAAATACAGCAGTCTTCTGGACTATCAGAATTTCTCTTTCTGCTAGTATCAGATGAGATGAGCCATGTGGAAGGGTGCTGAAAATAATAAAGCACTAAGGAAATGGGAGCCCATAAAAGAAATATTATAAGGGAAATCATGTCGCCTATTTCAGGCAGAAGTTGAATAAATGCTCTCGTTACCATTTTGAATTCAAAGTTCAAATCAGAGGCTGGGCATAGTGGCTCATGCCTGTAATCCAAACATTTTGGGAGGCCAAGGTGGGCAGATCACTTGAGGCCAGGAGTTTGAAACCAGCCTGGCCAACATGGTGAAACCCTGTCTCTACTAAAAAATACACAAATTAGTCCAGCGTGGTGGCACATGCCTGTAGTCCCAGCTACTTGGGAGGCTGAGACAGGAAAATCCCTGGAACCTGGGAGGCAGAGGTTGCAGCGAGCCGAGATTGCGCCACTGCACTCTGGTCTGGGTGACAGAGTGAGTCTCCATCAAAAAAAAAAAAGTTCAAATCGAAATCAAGCTAAAATCAGTCTGTGGAAGAGGCAAAAGTATTCTCCAACTGGGCCCTATGCTTGGCAACATTTCCAGCCTTGGTTACAGTTGGGCTGGGGGCCATGTGACTACCTCTGGCCAAAAGACCATGAGAAAAAGGGCTGATGGACTATGTATCACTTTGGTCCAGAGTATGCAGTAACAGGAATGGGCCCCCCACACTTGCTCACTTCTGCTTCAGTGATCCTGGAAACCACATACTGAGATGGCAGGAACCTGCATTCCT